GCGGCTTAAAAGATCAAAATTCAGCTCTGTTCAAAATTTCTTCCTCATAGTTGCCGTTTCTGTTGGATATTATTCAAACAAAACACAACACTCAAACAGAAACAGACAGACAGACAGATACACACACACAGATACAACTTTCAGCTGTTTTATCAACAATTATCAACTTTCCCAATTTTCATCATTTATGATAATCATCCAAACACTATAACTTATACAAAAAAAAAAGTGCCAGAAGACTTATAAAATTGTTGATTAACGACCCAACCATGGAAGTAAAGACAACGACGACGACGACGACCATAAGTATAATAACAAGAAATAAAATTAAATAGATATATGGTTATCAGTCCATATTTTATGCCTTAAATTAACTGAAGGCAACCATTAGCAACAAAAAACCACTACTTTTTCTGATGAACAATCCTTTCGATGCCAATAGTAGGCGCAATAGCAGTACACTAAACTATGGTTTAGTATCAGTAAACGGACAATATTAAACCAAATTGTAGTATATAAACCACATTGATAATTAATCATATCAAAAACCATAAGAACAATCAATTTTTATAACTATAATTAGCACAAAATTTATTATTTAAAACTGTATAGTGGCGGCAAAAAAAATATTACGGCATTGGTTATATAATTAATATATTCAGTAAATTCTATACCACAGAGAGAAGTTGATGGATGGAAAAAAAAAGCATTTCTTATTAAAAATGATAACAATTGATGTTGAATACTGCTGTTGCTGCTGCTGCTGCTGTTCGAGATCAACAATACCAAAAAGACAACAGCAACCGCAGCAGCAACAACAACAACAACAACAACAACAACAACAACAACAACAACAACAGCAACAGCAACAGCAACAGCAACAGCAACAGCAACAGCACAACAACGACGCCAACGCCGACGACCTGTCCGCAAAAACCTTATTTGTTGGCATTGCTTAGAAGAACTTCTTTTTTTTTTTCCCCTCATTAGATGTACGCAGACACCACATAACATACACAGTAAAACCAATGAAAATTTTGCGCTCAATAACTAGAATTATAATTTAAAAAGAAAGGGAGGAAAAAAAAAAAAGGAAATTTAAACATCTGAAGAAACCAAAAGAATTTTTTTTTCCTTACCTCCCAAAAACATCAGCATCGGCTGCGTGCGCTAATAATAATACTAATAATTCAATAGTTCATTCGTGTAGCTTATAATTTAGCAGTCTACTGAAATTATACATCAAATCAACCAAAACAATAATCTGTACTTCTCTTTTTCACTATCATTTGCAAAGTTAAAACTCTTTTCAACCCTTTGTTAATATCATTAGCCAGAATAATCAATTGATTTCTAATGCAACCGTTGTTACTGTCACATTGCAAAATGAAGGTAAAGGAGAGGAAAAAAAAGGAGTAGTAATGATAATTGGCAGCAGGTCTCCGTCAATCCAAATGTTAAGATTAAATGGCATCTCTAGACATTAGCAAATAGATCTACTCTGATCAATTCCCGGCGTAACAATCATAAATGATAAAAAGATGGCAAAGAAGACAGCTTGAAGAAGACTGGAATTCAGTAACAGACGACCGGTAATCAGTTAGAT